GACAGACATTCCAGAATTAAGGAGATACAAAAGAAATATGAACTCTCTTCAAACAAGTTCTCGGCTAGCTTAGTACGAATCAGACATGACATATTTCCTGATTTTATATAGCAAGAAGAGAATGTTTCAACTTTGATAAAACAATACATACCTGCATCTGATTTTACCGTTGGAAGTTGTATGGTTGGCACAGTCCATGGATACAGTGGTTTACTTTTTCTTGGTGACACTTTTAACTGTACATTCTTTACTCTGTACACATGGTCAATAATGTGGTGTTTATCAGTCCGCTTGCAGATTTATACATTTATCACAAGTTTTCTTATCTCTGGGATATCTGTAATACTTGATGTATATTGCACAAATAACCATAATTGTTGATACACTGGTCTGAGGGAGCAGACACGGGCACACCTGAGACACAAAGCTCGCCAGATGACACATGTTTACGAGTGACGTCACCGACCTGTGCATTGTGGGTAAAACAAGTGCTTGGTAAACTACCCTCACTAGTAGTTTATCCTTGTTAAATACGAAATACTATCCGAGAGGACTGAGAGCCTCGGTGCCGGGCGTCTCAAAGTGTACAAAGACTTCATTTCCCTAGTTCGTTTCGCTAGCATTGCCTCATCAAACTCGCTTGAGAATCGAGAAATGCTTGTGAGGAAACTTTTGTGTATTTCTGCGTCTGGTAGGTTTTACAGTACGAGGAAATTTACACTTGTGGGCTACACGATGTGGTCTGACGTGAGGTGGAGAAAATCAGACTAGTGAATTAGGCGCAGGAAATCTAGCCTTTATAATATTATTTTCTAGATAAGATTATTTAAGATTGTCATTAAATTAAAATCTGTTATCTTACTCTAATATTTAAAAAGGAAATAATTAATAACTTTAAAGTTTTCTTATTTTGTACCCGAGATAACTTAGGAGACGTTCATCACACACACACACACACATAAAACAGCTTTATGAGGCCTTAGCTATTATCGGAACTTTTGCCTCAAGGTATCTGTGAGTGTCGATACTGTAGTGGATACTCTCCCCTACGCTACAATACCACTACGAACACCATTACCACTACGACCATAGTACCAGTGAGTGGCAGGGTGCTTGACTTAAACACTGCTGAACGCTTTGTGTTTTATTATGGATATTCACAATTGTGCACGGATAAGATCAGTGTGTGGCAGTGATAGTGATGATGGTGGTAGAGATGATGTGTGTGACTGATAGTGATGATGGTGGTAGAGATGTGTGTGACAGTGATAGTGATGATGGTGGTAGAGATGATGTGTGTGACAGTGATAGTGAAGGTGATGATGCATGTGGCAGTGCTACTTTACACAAAAATAAATAAATAAAAGCGCAAAAATCAAGAGTTACCTCATATAGTCACTAATGAGCGCTCAAAATAGACGACAATTAGCCCTTTGTTCTATTAAATGAAGTCACTTTATCTGGCAGTCGTCAATGCTGGAAATAGTCGCTGTGGGGTAAAAAATCGTCTGTTTTTTTATCTGGCTTTTATCATCTGACCGTCTATTTCCCCTTCTTAACTCCCTTTCATTTTCCTCTTTTCTTATTCCCCTTTCACCTCCTCTTCCCCTTCCCATTCCTTCCTCATCTTTTCAGCCTCACCCTTCCCCTCCCCGTCTTGTGGTTGAGGGAGTGAGGCGAGTTGAGATGAGGGACTAAGGTAAGATGAGGTGTGAGAGGTTTAAGGCGAGGGTGTGAGGTTAAGGAGAGGTGAGATGGAGTAAGGTGAGGTGTGTGAAGTGTAGGGTTGAGCTGCACTTTCCTAAATCCCATTTATTCTTAACAGTAAGTGATGATTACCCTCGTACTCACCGTCACATAAAATCGCTACACTCAGAACTTGGCACAACAGCTGCATAGTTCATATCGAGCTAATTATTTCAGCTTGAAGTTAGCTATTCATAAATAACTTATAGAGCAGGTCTCGACTCTCAGACAGACAAAGAGAAACACGCATGTACTGTAAATACACTCAAAACTTATTGCAGCGGTTGCATAATTTTTCTATAATAAGATGGTGTTTTGCTTGTGTATTTGTTTTCTGGTATGTTAATGCTGGAGTAATGAGTATACAACTAAAAAGTGTTTTCTTGTGTCGAAAACTCATTAACATTTCCTATTAGCCTCGTGTTCAGATGTTATATTAGCCTATTTGACGTCAAACAAAATTGATTAATGCTGAGTAAAATACATTATTTTCATGTCACACACTTTTATGGCGCACAAGAACTGAATGGACATTACTATACAGTACTTTGTTGAGCATCCTAAAAACAAATGAAGATTATGCATAAGGAGCACACAGCCCATCTTGTAGAGGCAGTGATCACCGCACCAGGTACTGCAGTAAATAAAATTACAGAATAGCGCAATGGTAAAGAATGAAAAAAAAATGTAAGAACAAAGAAAGAAAGGGTTTGAGAGACTTAAGAAGATTTCCAGCACTGAGTTGAGTCTCCAAGGAGGGCGCCAGGTGCTCGACTCTTATCTTGGGTGAGATGCATCTCCAGTTGAGATTCTCCACAGTCGACAGCAAATATCGTGTCTTGTGTGGAGGAGAAGGTTGGCAGCAGAAATAAGCCAATAAGTCAATAGGTGTGCTCATAGGTACATCCAAGCACATTCCTGATAACATTGCATGAGGTCCCCTCCTGAGTGATGCTGTAGACCAAGAGGTGTGTTACAACTTTCCCTTTAACTCGGGGAGGCAAATGTTACACTTGCACTGGCAGAACACCGCCTCTGAAACTAGCGATACCCCCTGTGGAATAGTTCAAGGAAAACCTTTTAGTTTATATTGTTCTTTTACTGCAAAACAATCTATACTAACACCTCGTAAAGCAATAGTAAATACCCTGTAGTTTACAATACCACAGAAAAATATCAAATTATACCTGTATAGTGCTGTATACTCCTTGGAGAATACTATAGTACAGTACTGTATTTTGGGTTAAGTTCAGCTTATTGCACTTGCTAATTAAGCAACTTGATGCTACCCAGAAGGGTTGGGTTAGATTAACTAATGATTAAATATCCTACCTTGGAGGGCTTAGGATAAGTTAGGTTAGGTAATATTATGTTTAGCTTAAGTTTAGGTTAGGTAAGGTTAATTTAGATTTGGTTGTTTGGTTTAGGTTGGATTAAATTAGGGTAATTTAGGATCGGATAGCTTAGTTAAGGTTAAGTTAGCTTTTTATGTTAATTAGCTAAGTTAAGGTGGGGTGGGTTGAGTTAGGTTAGGTTAATTACATTAAATTAGGTTAAACTAGGCTAGGTTAAGTTTGGTTAGGTCGGGTTAGGCACCACTGTCAGATGCAACATTACATACTAAGTGATATTAAGGATATCTGTGTTGTGATGTGTGTGTGTGTGTGTGTGTATATATGTATGTGTGTGTAATAATAATCATTAACAGTTTATTAACAAATACAGCAGCCACAAGCTGAAAACATACAAATGATATCATTGTTACTGTGCACATGTAATAAATAATGACGAGGGGTTAAGATCATTTAACAAGGAATTTCAGCAGACTGTACAAAACTGAAATTGGCAGGGAGTGAACACACACCTCATCTAAGAACTGTTGGAATGGGGCTGTTCTTATAGTGAGTGACCAGTACTTGTCGTAGGGGTTGGATGTGGTTGTGGAGTCGAACAGCAATTCAATGATGGGGGATCTCAGGTGGGAACATATGGTAGTGAGGGTGATGTAGAAGCTCTTCCTAAACTGACAGTTGAGGTCCTGGTGATGATCAGTGACAGTTCAGTGGCTCAGTGTACTAAGTGCCCCTTGAAAAATGGTATAGAAGATGAAGTAAATAGTCTTGCATGTCCTCTTCTGCACTCCATGTAAGTGTCCTCATTGTGTAGAACTTAAGGAAGACAACCAAGCAAGGGAAGCATAGGTGAGTTTAGTAAGTATGAATGTTGTGTAAACATCCAAGAGCTCAGACTTGGGAACTCCAAGAGACAGTAGCAGGAAGATTTGACAGTGTACTGAAGTATACTTTCCATTTCAGTTTGTTATCTATAGTGATGCGGAGATCCACATCAGGTTGTGGATTTCAACCTGATGTGTGTTGAGGTCCAATAAGAAGGAGGCAGGTTGGAAGTGGTCAAGTGCCATACATTTCTTCATATTAAATAAACAACTTAAGCAGTGCACTTTATTTACCCTTATACAGCGATGTCTTCACCAGAGGATGTTGGCTGTAGGGACAGCAGCCAACACCAATGGATGTTTAATGTTCCTTGTAAAGTACTCCATTTTTGCACATACGAGGGAATCCTTAGCCTCCGTTTATGTGTTAATCCTTTCTGTTCACATTTTTTCTACGTCTTGCATAGTTATGGTAACTTTAAAACAAATACAAGCGGTGCCCGAGTTATGATAGCCGGACTTATGAACGGTATCACAATGTTGTATATTCATCATAAAAATCTGAAACTAAAATCCCATTTCTGACATTACTTCATACAGTTTAACATCACTTTATTTGCAGTATTTATGTAACAGTATTTGTTATATATGAGATATTATTGATGTTTTGAATGGGCAAACTTGTGCTTTAAGCTAACCTAAACTATGTTATTAACACTGTTCCAACTTACTAACAGAACAACTTTTGAACAGGGTCCAACAATGAAACCCTTTCATAGCTGTTTAGCTTCTTTGTTTCTGCTGGTGGTTAATAGTCACAGTTCTTTTTGTGGATAAAATTTACTTGTGGTCAACAAAATAAAGTTCTGTATTAGAAGTAACCTTTGAGTAAGACAGATAATGAGCTTTACAACTACATTACTGTATTGTACTGCAACAACACCAAATACCAACACCATCATCACACCTGTGTTTAGTTACTCTCTGGTGAAAAGGGGGACAGACAGCCCAAGAATGTGTACTGTACTGATTTACATGTCATTAACGTATCAACAGGTGAACAAAGAAAAGACTTATATGTATAAACAAGTTTTATTAATAGTTATACATAATGTAGTTATGTCATCAAAATCTGTTCAAACATAAACACTAAAACTTAGTTGAAACTTTATGAAACCAAGAACTCTTAACACGGACAGTTCGCTCACGGCAACACCAGAACACTGTACTGTACTGACTATATGGTATGTTGTATAAAACTACCTTCATCATTGTAATTAAATGCAACTCCAACAATTATCTCAACATTAACATTTCAAGTGCATATGTATGATTTAAAATTGAAGATTTGCAAGATTTTAACAGCTACCGGTACACACTTGCATAAAAGACTACTGTATGTCAAAATACTGAAACGTGTTGAACATAAAATACAACAATGTAAATAAAAAATAGTGTTGACCTCCAAAGCAGAGCATGTGAAGGAAGGTAAGGTGTCCGCTTGGCTTATACAGTACCCTGCTGGAGATAATGTACTGAAATATGCATATTTGTTCACAGGCTATTGAACACAAATCATTTGCATACAACTTCAGTAATATCAAAGTCAATATTGTTGCATACTTTGACAATAATTTTCTATACTTACTTGAAACATACATTTGAGGTTAAGAGGCATTCCTGTCTTTAATATAATACTAATACATCAAATGCAACTGTAGGAAAATATTCAAGTTTAAAGCTAGCAATGTTGCTTTCAAGTTCACCTATTTACAAAGAATCAAAATACTGTATCGTACAGTAAAATAAATGTAAGTAACTCAAATAAAAGTCTGTAAAACAAGTACTGTACAGTATGCTCTTGTAATATAAAATCAAGATTACAGCAGACTAAAATGATGAAATAAAAAATACAGTACAACACATCATTCCATCAGTAGCAGAGCAGAGTTAGTGCCAGTGTTGTAGTCTGGCCTAAAAGAAAGAGCCAAAGTTCCAAGCTCTGCCGAGAACTACAAGTAACCGTGCCAAACGAAATTCATATTGTGTTTGTACGATAAAAACAACGCAAATGAGAATAAAATGAAGCTTATATGACGGAATGTTGGAAAATAAAGAGATACCTGTACTGTACTGCAATATATAACTAAGACAAATACTTACAAAACAAGTAAACCAAGCAATATGTTTGAAAAATGAAAAGGGAATATGAATCATGGATTAAATGAAGATTAGACACCCTAGCTTATTTCACCTGATAATTAAACACCATAAAACTACCTGGAGGGTTGGGTAAGGTATTGTTAAGGTGGCTAATCTTAAGGTGAGATAGGCTGGGAGGGCTCATCTTCGGGTGATTTAAATTGTGTGCCTTTATGTAACCAAGAGTAAGTTACATTACTGTATATACTGAGGACATGAGGTGCCTGGATCGTATGGTTTATTTGCGCCAAAATTTTAAACCGAGAATCCGCGTTTCAGTTTTCCCAACTTCAAACATGCATAACTGTTGTTTTTTGAGATACAACATTCATTTTTTATACATTTTGAAGCTGAAGGACTGTACTTGCAGATGGTAGGTAGAGCGTCATGAAGTAATGTACTGGGTTGTTGCAATGTTGACTTGAAGCAACAAAACTCCCACAGGCTTATATATTTTTTTTTTTACTTTAATCGATATCAGAGTGTAGACTCTGCCCACTGGAGGGGCCGTGACATAGAAAGCAGACACTCACTGTCATTGGCCAAGACGGGGGAGGAGGCTGTAGGCTGGCCGCTGTGATTGGCCGCCCGCTCATTTCACTCACTCACTGATGGGATGAGAGCACCTTATGATGCGAAAGCCAAGCCCATAATTTCCTGCCTGCCACAAATCGATGTTCTACCTTATTTTCAAAGGGCTTTCAACCTTATTTACAGTGTAGTAAGGAGATCTTATTAACTACCATCATATAGAGCCGAAAATAGTGCTTTCCAACAAAAAATGGGTTTCACCCAGATGGCTTGAATGCACCTTACGATTTGGGACGCCTCACATGTTCTTCACGGTTTTATTTTACTCTTGTACACCCTTTCCCACTACAGTGCTGGGTGGTCAAGTCAAGAGCACAATTAGTTCTATTTTGGTATTAATAATCCCCAATAACTCCACTTGAGGGAATTTGTTAACATTAAATTACTGCACAATTATTAAATTCTCTCTAAATTAAAAAGAAATTGATTAGTGAATGTAATTATACAAATATACTTGTTTATAGTTCAAAATTATAAAACTTATGTATGATTATTACCAGGCATACAAAATGTGTGGTTAACTAATATTTATAGAGCAACAAATATTCAAAACAGGAATCACCACAAGTCTGCCACATTTGATCTATGAGCATCACCCATGAACCTGAATTTTTAGCACTAAGGCAAAAAATTCTTTTTGCTCTGCTAAAAAAAATACTGTAAATAAAATTTTCTTATGTCTCGGTGACCACTATCATATCACTTCAAGATTAGACACCCCAGCTTTATTTTACCTGAAAATTAATCACCCTAATGCTTTCTGTGGGAGGAGGTTGATTTAGGTTAACATTAGGGTTTTTAATCTTCATGTGAAATAAGTTGGGGTGTTTAATATTCACATGATCCTAACTATCAATGAATACTTTTAGGTATACCTGTATTGGAATTTACAAGGTGTCAGTTTGCTCACTTGATGATAACATCGTTTACGCTAGCTGTCACAACCCTACGCACTGTTGGAAGCCTCTATACAGTACTTGAAATATCTGTGTGGTGATCCCTGCAAATCTATAATAAACTCCATTACACTGTGATATGTAGTCATACAATCATGTTCACCAACTACTGTACCTCATTAACACAAGTGGAGAATTACACATACTATCCATGAAGTTTGCCTCATAGAGAAAATGAAGAGATTTACTTATATCATGGCCCGAGTCTACTTCATAAAGAATACAAAGAAATATACTTAGATCTCAGCCTAAATCACTAAATAATGATAAGTCAAAGGTTGCTGACATGAAGATAATAACTAATGTTAACATGACCTGATCTCTATTACTGAAGTGAGGAGCAAGATGTATATCTTCACAAGGTCATTAACAAAATGCTTGGCAATATACTCCTGGCATAAAGTACACTTATACAGACATTTTGAATATATGATTAAAGTGAAGGAAAAGCTTAATATTGTGCTGTCCATCATCACACCAAACACATCCTCACTCATACTAAAGGCTGGCAACAGGACTGGGAGGGAAGAAACACAATACATCTTGGCAGTAAGAATTAGAAACCTTGTCAGTACTGTACCCAGTAATAGAATTTTCAGTTTTATGGAGACAATAATAGGCAATGGGCACAGGTATAATTCACAGAAAGATATACCAACCTCTAAAACTTCTATGAAATGACCAAGAAAATGCTGCCACATTTTACAACCAGACGGACAAAATTGTTGTCCCTCAACTTGTAAACTGGGATACTATAACACTTCTTATTTATTAAAAAAAAAAAAAAATCACCCAATCAAATGTTATCTATGAACAAGGAAACATTATGTCTCATAAAGCAAAAGGCATCTGATTTACAGCTTTGCACACAGAAAAAAATCCAATTAAAAAAATACTATTTAATTAATTAACGACCAGAAAAAACACTTACTGATTCATTAAATTCTTTTCTTTTCTATTTTAAGAATAAAGCCTTATGTATCCAAGTTCAAACTGGGATGCCACGTACAGTACAGACAACAGACTGACTATGTTAAGGGAACATACTACATCAGATTGTAAGTCACATGGTGTTTCTTAGAAGTGAAAAGTTGAGACAGATATTGTATGGACAAACAGATGACAATCCATGGCAATAAATCATTCACATAAACACGAATTAAAAAAATATAAAAATAAATACAATAATTCTTTTAAAAACAACTCCCGCTTTCCATATGTGAGGTTTCATGTTGTGTATCACTAGTTCCTAAAAGCAAGGTTCAGTATAAATGCTACAGTACTACTCTGTGGAACTCAACCTCCTGTGTGACATATACCAGAAGTTAGTTTTTCCACTTTTCAGGCCATTCTTCACTTACTGTTATATATTCTTCCTAAATGCTATGATAGATGTGTTCTACTATGGTGTTTCCTTTCTGCTTCACCCGTCTCTTCATACAACTTAGCATCATCCATTAACAACACATCCATCCCTAAATATCACCCAATGCCTTAATTCTGGGTCACCCATGCAAATCGGTGTCTCCTGAATGTATAGCGAGTGATGTGAACCATCTTCCCAGTTTTGTCTGATAGTTATTTAAGGCTGGCGAGACATAGTCAATGATTAACCTCAATTACGTAAGAAATGTTGATATGTCTGAATAGGTAAGCTGATTCATCTGAGACGAGAAGCCATAAGTCTCTAAACGGAACATGAAGCATATCAAGGTTCGAAACATCCCAAGTGGTTAATATGGAAAATGATATATTTCAGTCATGACAAATGGACAACAAAGATACCCTTGAAACTCAGGATCAGTCCTCTCCAGGTCCGCCAACTGTTCAAAAGTTTCCCAGACAGCATGCCGAAAGACTCGTATATTCCACAATACATTCATCCAAAATTGGGAAGGTAGCTTTGTCATTCACAGTACACTCCACTTATCTGATGCCTCTCTCTATCCATCCATTTCCTTGGTCTTTCCCTGTACTTATTACCATCCACCTCTAATTCATACCCTATCCATTTTTCACTCTTTCACTTCCAAACCTTATTTCTTATTCTCTGCATCCTACATACTACTATCAAGCATCTTATTTATTCTAATTTATTACCACTTACATCCATACCTTGTACAGTCACCCACAAACATCCTGTCGCCAGTTCTCCTAAATCACAAATCCTGAGATTCAGACTCGTGAATCCAAAGCACTTATGAACAGAATAATGTCTACTGCTTCAGGTGTACTAGTTCTGAATCTTGGTGTTCATGGAGCAGCAGAAGAGGCAACAGTACATCCCCATCTCTGACTCATCAGATACTTCTCAATGTACTTATTACTTTCTTTCCCTCCACTACTTGCGATTCAATTTATGCCACATTCACAGAAACATCCACCCCAGGGTATCTAACATTCCTTCATTTAAACGAACATTCATCTGTAATTTTCATTCAAAATAATATTCATTATTATTGTAAATAAATTCTCTCATTTCTACTGTAACTAAATTCCCTCATACAATATTTAGTACAGTACTGTATATTATGATCATAATTGGCTAATTATTTTTCACATATATCAATAGCCATCTACAGCATTATCATAAACATGGCAGTTTCAATATAAAAAGAAGTACGATACAGTTAACACTATTAGCATTTTATCACTAAATAATAATGGTATTGTACTACAATAGAAGACTAAATATAATAAAAAAAATCAAGTAGAAAAATTAGCTTCTGGAAATAAACCCAAATAAATAGCACATACAGTATTGTTACTTTTTAAACTGCCTTACTATGTTCCTCCTGGTTCCTGCTCTTCTTTAATTCATAAGTCTCTCCAAAACTGTACTGTAGTTCCTCCCAGTACAGGTACGGGTAGTTACTTCTTGCTCAATGAACAGTGATATCCCTTAGGGTTCTGATCTCCCACCCACTGGTACCCTCTTCAATCTTTGACCCTATTCTACATTCATCAACTCACTCACATTTCCCCCAAATTCCAATGTTTTCTCTCCTTCTTGAGCTACAGCTGCACACATTTCCTCCCATCATCCCGACCTGTACAGCATCACAGGCAGGGGAAGTAATTAATCAGTTCTGTTTAATTTGCCAAGCCTACTTTGTTCTACATCTTATTATAAATTTCATACTTTCCCAGCCATTAATATCCAACACACATTAATTAATCAGAGCAACAAAAACATGTTAGGTATCACAATAACTCCTATTCTACCCTGGAAACCCCTGAACATCTTCTGCCTATAAGATAAGATGGTGTCAAAACCTTTCCACCTCATTAACTCTTCCACCCCTTTCTCTTTGAGAGAATGTTGAGTCTCTTCCTCTCTTTTACAGGTACAGTACAGTACTGTCTTAAATCATTCACTGTGCTCAGGAGCTGTAAGACCAAGTATGAATTGTAAGATTTTATCTCAGGACATATGGTTAGCGGCTTCCTCCCACAGATAGAATGTGGTATCCTACGACTCACGGACAATCTTTTATGATAACCTACTTTTTTCCCCCCCAGTCAAGGCTTTGAATTCTCTCTCCCTCCAGTGTTTTTCTTACACCTATACTCTGCCCTCCCCCACACTTAGGACTTTCACTATTTAATATAGTATACTGACTGTGACCTCTTACTTCTCATCCAACATGGCTGTAATTTGGACTTATTAGAATATAATTTACCACAAGAAAAAGTAAAAAGCATTTTTCTATTACTTTATACAATCGTATATAAAGTAGAACTTATTCCTTAGCCCGGTAATGATTTAGATTTCAAAGTCGTTTCATGTAATATAATACTATATATGCCACTACACTTATGTGAATACCCTAACTTAATCTACAGTATCTTATGTGATTAAATAAACGTCACTGATTTTTCAAGAAGAAATATAAACATCAGGAGAAAACCAGAGACCCCACACATCCTACATTCGGTGCTGGGCGCCAATTTAACCATTGTAATCTCTTAAATACAGAGCTCACTCATCTGGCGGTAGCTGCCATGGCCATTCCATCTGATAGATGTAATCAATAACCAGTGTTTTGAGGTAGTCACTAATGCTGATACAAGGGTAAATGACAGCTTTCTTTCAACTGCATGGAGAAGGGGGCTACGATTTTCCTCCAAATGACTTAAATATTTTTATTTTCCACTTTTACAAGCCTTTTTCTGGTATAGTATTAGGCAGAATGAGTGTAACCAATAGCAACACAGACTGCCATTTGCCATAATAGGTATGTTATGTTATGGTAACCCCCTCCCACAACACCCCAAGTTTCATTGATGAATGTACTGTCTTTTACTTGAAGGAACAACATTTGACTAATCAGAGTCTTCCAAGCACCTGAAACACAAAGAGCATGTATAGTACAGGACAGGATAAAGTAGTGGTATCCTTTTGCTTAACACAGTGATGGGTTTATGCAAAGTCTAAACTTAAATCAATGAACAATACTGACCCTCTTAACCTGAAAGAATATACTCCACACAATCTTTTGGGATGATATTGAAGATGAAGTAAAAGCAATGGTATGGGAGGATGAGGAAGGCACAGAAAGCAAAAGATGCACAAGTAAAACTGTGTACTGTACTGTATATTAGGTCTTTGAGGAGATAGTACAGTGTATGTCAAAACTGCACTGCTAACAAAAACCTCAGCATTAAATTTCTATGTATGAATGCAGATCACTCGAGACACGTACAACACACAATAATGGTGAAGTAATTTTAACAAAATATACAACTTTGTTATCAGATACTCCACCTCTTCAAATATTTGTGTAATGCCTATTCAGTGCCAATGAAAGCTCAAGCACTTGCAAACAAACTTTGTATGACTAAGGTACAGGATGAAAACAAAGCAGACCTCTACGACCCTGGCCATTGGTACTAAGTTCATAACTTCATAGTTCTCATCACAGAACATGAATATATTTATACCTTAACTCATTATCATGTGATATTGTGTACAGTTGGACTTTAGTCTAAGGTGGTGTTAGCATGAGGAGACGCTTAACTAAGAAGTTTGTGGTTATAAACACATTTATCAACTTCCATCTAAATAATAACCATAAAAACAAACATTACTGTATACTTAGTTTCTAAGCAGAGGCAAAGTAACTCAATAAAAATAGTTTGTCCTTTGTGTTACATGTAAGATGAGTTTCTGAAACAATCACATCATGAGCTATTTATATCAAAACTATTATTTGTACACTACTCTACAAAATATGACATAATAAGTATTCAAAATCATAAAGAAAAGCAGGGAACAAATTCCTTCACCCATTGAGAAACTTAACTTCAGAGTTCCATGGGTTAAGTATACAGTACTTCATTTCTAAACACTATTCATGAACATAACATATATGACTATGTGAATAAATGGAAAGGATTCATTCAGTTCTCTTACAAAATAAGTAAAAAAAAAAAATATGATAGTAATACAGTCATGATAACATCTTCACTCTTCTAAGCCTCGTCCTGCTATAATTCAGAGAGGACAGAATGGAGAGCGACTACACGGTCTCCCACCAAAAAGACATTATTTTTCAATGGTGTAAAGGATGTGTTCTACTACAGTGCTCCCCTACCACAACAAGGCCCCAAATATCTACCTGGTCTACCCCCGTCCCTTCATACAGCCTAGCATCACTCATTAGCATATACTGTAATAACAATGATAATATTTTCTCACTTTTTTTTTCTTCAAAATTTTTTATGCCTTTTCCTACTATGATGGAGGATGGCTTCAATAATAATATTAATAATACTGAAATCCACATCACTACTAAACTTGATGCCCAACATTTTATTTCTTCATTTACAGATAACAAACTCTCTCTCTCATCAGCTGCTTGGTGCTTGTACTGTATACTGATAATGGCAGAGTTTTCCCTTCTCTGCAGCAGCATCATAACAATAGGTACCAGCCTCATGCAATTTCATTCTGGCTCTGGGGAACACAGAACAGTTTGCAGTTATCTTCTTCTCCCCCAACTTGTTTCAGCTCGTCCTCAGAGATTGCAAATACTCGTAATAATTCTCAATGGCTCGTGATTCCAAACAGTATCTTGTGAGAATATAAATCAATATATAGCTGTTTACTTCTACACTAAGCATTGTAAAAATACATGCTACTTTTAATACCTAAAAATTATTAGTTTGCAATGAAAGAAAATGTGCAAATGTAAAACAAACATAAGAATTTTCTCATCATCATAGTTTGGTGACAGATATAAATAATATTAAATCTGACACAGTTAAGTTGTTCAGTTCCAAATGTAAGGCATGTGCTTAGTACATGTACGAGTATACTGGTGTGTGGACACATCTTCAAGTTTATATCAGAATTACCTTTCAGCAGAAGACAATTAGAAAGACAGCTGCAGTGTATCATCTTTGTGTATGATGAACCTTTTCTTGCCTTACATATACTTTTTATAAAGAATGCCCAGAAAGTTTCCAGACTTGCATTAAAGAATCAATGACCTGAACCAACTAGTGCTGTCCTAACTGTATTTCACTGAGTGTAATAACAGCAGTTGTAATAAACATTAACCATTTTATAAACCTTAGAAAATCTACTAAATTCAGTTGTTAATGATCCTTGCTGATATTTGTATTAAATTGTAATTCCTGATGTTAAATGCAAATATTTTCTTTTACCCAAACACTTAAATATAAGAGTAAAAATTTAAAACTTGTAATTCGAGATATTTCTGTAAAAAGCAATTTTCTTATTATGCAAGTAAATGGGCAGCTTCAAAACAAACAGTTGGCCAAGAAATAAAACTAATGAAAAAAAAAGTATGGCAAAGGTAATGTATACTGTACAAGAATTGGTTACTGCAGCTATTTATTTTTACATGTAAGGTAATATTGTGTTGGTTCTCATAATCAAATATATGATGATCGTATGCATCCAAAGTTTAACACTACAGTACAAAGTATCGTATTTTTTCTTTAGAGAAGAGGCCAAATAGTTTCTTTTGTTACCATCACATTGAGACACACTCAGTACCTGCCAAGAGTGACTAAAGGTGTGAGTAGGCACATAGAACTATCCCACGCTGGCAGTGTTATAAGTCCATGTCATCAGAGTCAGGCAAATCAGGCAAGTCCTCTAACTGTGGAGTTCTGGGGGGCTCGACGGCATTAAGATCGAGTAACGCGGTATTATTGTTTTCTTCCAGCCACATGAAATTGGGCGCATTATTATTGTTATTGTTAAATTCCATGCGCTCGGAGAAGTCGTCGTCTGCCATGGGGTCGGGTAATGGGCTGGCAGGCCTTCTCAGGGAGGGCAAGTATCCTCCCCGAGAACCAGACGAAGTAGACGGCAGAGACAATAAATCATCGTTAACATCTGAGGATGATGCTGCAATGCCTGTACCAAGTGAGGATGACGACGATGATGATATTAATGATGAGGATGACAAAGACGATGATGACGATGCTGAGGATGACTGTGAGGAGGATGATGATGATGATGCTGTGGAATTCTGCCTGAGAAAAGATAATGATGGCGGCGGTGATGAGACAGAGATACCCGAGTCTGGAGAGCTGCTGGTGGATGTTTCCCCAGTACTTGTTGAGTTAGGAGGATTTACCAAGGAGTCGGAGGAAGAGTTTTTGCTTTCCACAACTTCTATCTCAGTGGGTATGCTTGGCTTAATTATGTTTCTGATAATGTTTCCCGGGGGCTGCCACAAAACCACCTCCATGCTCGGTTTGGTTCTGAAAAAGACATATAATAAGTTAAACAATAATACTTATGATATAACAATTATGTCAGTACCTTCTGTAAGTATCTACATACAATATATGATATGTGTTAGATGGATGGAATGAGGTCACATTTAAACAATCATATAGCAAGTGCAATATAGTGCAACACCAAGTATAGATTAACCATACACCCTCATTATAGCTAAATAAAGCAATCACATAATTTTCTGATACCTTTCCCTTCCAAACTTAGGTCACCTGAGTCTACTGTATCCAACTTCTGTTCATAGCTACTGCCAACACCTGAATATCATTTTCATATAACATTTACAAGGGCAATAGTAACCCCCAAAACTTCTGCTCTGGAACCAACTCATTCTCAATTATGAATCCGACTCACATGTCTCTCAAGAAAATAAACAGGGGAAGAAACACAAGTGTTCCCATCATTGTATTACCTCAAATTCCCCATGAAATAGCTAAAAAAATTCCTAGTGTACGGGGCTCCCTCAGAACGAAATAAAATTCTCTTGTTCGCTATATAAAATATGAGTACCTATAGTGATATCTCTGATAGCTGGAACAATTGGTGCTGAGCACTCATGAGAATGAGAGGTTCTGGGTAACAAGACGACTCTCAAAGCCGGAAAAAATCCCCCAACTCCGGAATTTTCTGGGTACCAGAAAAATTTTCTTGAAATTTACGGAAAATGCACCTGCTTTTTATCTCTCAAACCCGGGTACCGGGTAAATTTGGGGGGAATTTTCCAGAAAATGTGCCCCTTAGAAAATTTTTAGTCCAGCTAATGGAGATATCCAGTTAAGAAGAATTTTGGCTAATGGAGATATTGCTGTACAAGGTATCAAGAATATTAAAGTTGCATCCCAGTAGTGAAGGGGTTAACCACCTCAGCAGCCCTGAATAACTTTCCCAATATGAAACAAATAAAGTCCCTAAGAGACACATTCAACTCAGGGTTCCAATAATAATTAGGCCTTTATATCTCCTCTCACTTCCTTTGCCCTTCACTACTGGGACACTCACTACTTTTAATATTTTATTTTATTAACACCAGGGGATAAGAATATGATTTGTTAACTGCTGTATGTACAGTCTCGTTCAAGATACTTCGAACACTGCTGCAGACAGCTGGCAACTTAAGGTCATTTGTTTACTATAGTACGTAGTATAATATAATATGAAACAACAAAGCCCAACCATCAATTAAGCAACGGGGAACTAAGTAACCAATCACCACTAACCTTTTACATCCATTCATAATTTTTATTATGTACTATACTAAACAAACGGCCTTGAGTTACCAGCTGTTTCCAGCAGTGTTCGAAGAATCTTGAACGAGACTGTACCATTCTACTACAAGCTATACTCTGAGCTTGCTATCCAACACCTCAATATTCTAATTAACAGTTACACTGTTAGACAAAACAGAGTGTTTCAGAAAAATTATTACATACCATCTTGAAGATTTTCGTGGAGATCGTCTGAATGTTTGTATTACAACAGTAACATTGTCCTCACTTTAGGGAGACCTCGTGCATCAACAAGTGAGGACAGAGTTGCTGTTGTAATACTGTACAACATTCATGGAATCAACACTAAAATCTGTAAGGCAGTGTTTCAGGTATAAATGTTTTTGAGACACCCTGTATGTAGTCATTATTCCAGTGTCTAATTTTCAATGAAAGTTATTGAGTCACATTTACACTACCAGCTACTTCATTATAAAAAAATAAAAATAAAAATACATTACAATTTTTTTAATAAGGATGCTGGAAGCTGTGATTCTCCAGGGATAATTTGTTTTACTTCATCAGCTATTACAAGGCAAGCAGGGCCTTTGGATCTAGATTTCCATGGTCGTGAAATATCGTCCTCTCCTAAACCTTCATCAGCTTCGTCCTCCAGCACCATATCATTGACATCAGAACAACTCTGAAAAAAATAAAAGAGCAAGTTGCTGACTGGGCTCAGGAAATAAAATGACACATCCAAAGAACAATGTTGTCATAAAGAAGAGGATACAGTACAGTACTGAGACCCTGAACCCATTTTTGTGTGGCCCTTGAGCTTTTCAGTAAAAGGTCAGTTATTTGTAGCAGTGATTTCTCTAAATAAAAAGATCTTTAACTACAGATTGTGGAGAATATTATGTCTAAGATTGGTTACAAGGAATTTTTCATAGTATATTCAGTAGCCCAGTGTGACCTTATCTACCTTAGTAGTGTGTAGCAACCTCTTTGAAGGTATCTCAGGTACTCAGCACAATGACTGAAGCAGGTTTGATGACATACCTGATAATGTGTGGTTGGGTCTCATTAGCCACCTGAAGAGCAAGCACCTGAATAGTACACGATAACCTAATATTTATGAGATCCAATTATTTTGCTGGGCACACATAACATTATACACTTACTTTTTTACCAAGTCGGTGGTTGTAGAAACTCTCTGAGAGGTGCAGTGAATTAAGGTGCGCTGCCATTCTCTCCTCACTAATGTGCTGTTTGGCCACTGGCTTTCTGTATGTAAATAATGATAATTCATAATCAGGAAGGATCAAGGTATATACACATCATCAAAAACAGTTAGAACTTGTAAAGGACATGGAAAAAATAGAGCAAAGTGGGCCGGGTTCACTATGGCCACAACCCCAGGGTAAACATGGCAGCCAACCACTTGCTGAGTGGCATCATGAATCTAAGATGATTACATATACAGCATAAACAATTAACACTAGTGAGAAATATACAGCAACCAAACACCATTCAACTCTATCCCTTGAAAAATAAAGTACAGTAACTGCAAATACCTGTAGACTAACTTACTTCATTATTTTCTACAAGTAAACTATCAGTGTCATCATCCTCCAAAAATCACCATAAAACTCGCTCCTGAATTTCATGTGAAGACAAGTAGACCTCACACCACAACACAGTCACTTAACCAGTTACCTGATTGTCCAATTTCTCCTCATATACTCTCATGTAATACAGTACAGTATGTGGAAAATTCAGTACAAGTAGATTACGTACTGTATTCTCAAAATTTTATATGCTTATTACAGTATTTACAATACTGTAATTGTGTACTGTACAGTTTTAAGAAAAATGAGTGGAATTTGGAAGCGAAAACATTTTTGGAGGTGTAAAAACTGCTGTAAATGCGCGAGAAGCATCAGACACCTGGCTGGTGTACCTGTACAAACATTTTGCACCTCTTTGTGTGCTCACAGTTTTCTCCAGTTGTTTTAACCCCTCACTACTGGATGCCACTTTTAATTTTTTAATTGGCCAACACCAGACAATTTTATTCAGCACAGAGCAAGCCCTCATACTCGAGGTTAAGATATGTACCACTTTCTAAAGATTTTAAACCAGCCCAAAGTACAACCACAGCACAGTGGAATATTCAGTTCCTCATAGACTGCCATTGGTCCATTTTTTTCAGAATTTCCATCATTTTATTTTCCACTTGGCAATTTACATTTCCTTTTAGCACTATTAAACTCAGTTTTATCACATTTGTGTTTTTTGAGGGCATTGTGAATGCAAAATAAAATTAATAATAAACAAGGAACCAAGACTCCTTAAAGCCTGATAATTGTACCAACATTACTCATAGCTCAAGGCATTTGTGACCAGTGTTCACATCAAGTAAACAGAGCAACAAGAATTTAGGATGATGCAATAACTCATCAGGGGTTCAACTGTGGGATTTTTTCGAAGATAACATGCCAGTACAGTATTTCCAATTCAAATAGTAGTTGATGTATTACTAGGGTAATGAAATTATTATAGATGTTGGTTTAGTGTTTCATAATGTTCACTTATTGTACAGTATATACTTAACCATTATCTTTCCATCAATGGTTACATTGCACCTAACAAGGAGAGTTATATGGAAAAACAAAATATTATAATAATAAAAATAAACAATACAGACCTGTACACAGGTATCTTAAAAGCTTATTAAACAGTGTACAGTTTCTTTACCTCTTTTGATACAATGTACAACTTCAGATAAAATCAACACCTGTATTGTACCCTAAATTACTCACACTGCTTCTGGTTCCTCCTCTGGCTTGCGTTTAAAAACAAAGGGTATGCCATTTAAGTGAGAACCTGCCATCCTGGAATAAATAAACTTTCATTAGAATACAACCAATTAAGTATCTATAAAATAAAAAGACAATACAAGACATGAAACATAACTTTAGTTTTCCACACATCAAACCTTTCCCACAATAGTAAAGGGTGGCCACAATTAATAACAAATGCATACACAGACTTTTCATCTACAGTTCCTCTCCTACAACAAGGCTCCAAATATCCATTATGTTGACCCCATGGGCTCTACACAACCTAACATTACCCAACAGAAGATTGTCCATCTCCAAAAATTACTTAACACCACATGACATGTTATGAAGAAAGGAATTACTGAGAACCTCACTCAGGAATTGCTAACTTTAAATAGTACCTGCAGCATAATGTCCATCCCATATAAATGCTCCTACACTTGACATTTGATCTTTCCATTCTTCAACTCAATCAGGTCTCAACGCTACTACTAAACCTCCAAATCCCTTACAGAGAACAACAGTATGCTGTACTCCAACATCTTGATACTGTACTGACAACACTGTGCCACTACTGTACTAACTTCTAGAATGCCTATACTGTACTGTATAACAACCTCTTGAACCCAGAGTTACATTGCAGAAGTATATATATATATATATATATATATATATATATATATATATATATATATATATATATATATATATATATATATATATATATATATATATATATATATATATATATATATATATATATATATATATATATATATATATATATATATATATATATATATATATATATATATATATAGAGTACCAGTATATATTTATTTGTTTATTTCACTGTCTAAGCTCTTCTTGCCACACAATAAAATGGCTCTGAAGCCCCCCAGTCAGACCTGTGGATTCACTATTCTAGGGGCTCGTAGATATTTGCTCCCCCACATAACCTTATTAAGAATGGGGTGAGTGGCATGGAATGAAGTAAGTCTGGGGTTACGGGAAACACTGCATGGCACTGTTCATGAACGATGAATATTGCGAGAAAGTTTATATGCAAGTGAAGTAGTACCTTGTGAAATATTCAAAATTTGGTAAAGTATAGCTAAAACTGGCGTGAAATCTGATTAACTGAACTTTATCAAAGGCAACTCCTTACTGGAAAATAAAGGAAGAAGTTCCTCAAGATAAAAAACTGACAACAGCTCCTCCAAATACCTTTCAAGACTGGAAGACAACATTAATTAACAGATTATACACCAATCCACACTACAGCCTGTAAGTGAAGACGGTGATGTGAATGTTGACAGTCCAGTGAGCATAAAAAGTACCGCACATGTGTGGGGGGTGGGGAGATGGAAGGAGGAAAGGAGAGATAGGATGGAAGAGTGCAAGACAATGGGGGGAGTAAATGACAGGATAGGGTAGACATAGTTCCTCAAATTAACTTTATTCCAAAGCAAAATATTAGTCAATATAATCAATAAACCAATACAGTATTTTTTCTTACTGCCAAAAATAGTGTCCACAGATTAGTTAACAGAATCTGGTTTGTTTCAGTGTAAAAAGATCAAAGCAAATACCTGTACTGTACATGAGTATAAATAGATAACACAAAAATTCTCTGACACCAATATACTATACTGCAAATACAAACATGATTAATAATATGCAAGTAAACAATAATTAGGAAAAGTCCCCACCTGAAGTTAAAACCCATTGGTGCTCGAGAGTTGAAGTAAGTAGCACTGGGCATCTGTGGAATGCCGAGGGTTGAGGCAATGGTATTTGGGCACACAACGGGTGGGGGTGGCATGGGTGGTGTTGTGAAGCCTCCAATACCCCACATGCTGGCTATGCTGGGACGGGACACTGGTGGGTAACTAGCTTGAGGAGACGAGAGGGGTGACGTAGTTTGGAAACCCATATAAGCTGCTGTTTCTGGTGGTGGGGAGGCAGGTGAGGTAACAGTAAGGTTAGAGTCACCTCCAGCAGAGGTACAACCTAAGCTACCTGCACCAATGCCTACACCACCACCTACACTGCCTCCAACAGACCGCACCTCAGGGAAGTTCATTGTAATGCCACACCTGTTAATGGGAATACATTTGGATTAGTAACAGATGGGTGAACTTTGGGATAAGACTAAAATAACTCACGAAAAGGAAAAAGAAGAGGCACTATATGTACAGTACCCAGTAGTTATAAATAAATATACTGTATAGTATTTCATAGTATTCCAGCCTACACATTACAGTAATCTATAGCAAAATCTTATAATTTCAGTGTACCAAAATTGAAATGGTTTACTTAGTCAAGAAAATACAAAAATGTTGACATAGCTGAGCATAGCGAGTGCCGGAGCACAAAATGAAATATACAACATACAATAAAGTACTCTGTCAAAACACTGAGCAATAAAGAGTATGGTAAATTTGACTCTACCACTTTATTTCTTGAGAGTAATTTACTGGGTTCTTGATTGGTGTTCCATATATGCACAGAACACACAGCCATGCATGGAGAGTTATGCCTGAGTACCCAGAAATCTCTCAACCTGAAACTGCTTTGCACAAATTATTCTGTCTAACAGAGAGATTACCGCACACAGTGGTAACTGCATAGATATAACTTGGGTGTTCAGTTAAATCAATGCTTGTTTCAATAAGTTGAGGCAAAATAATATTTGTTTCCACTCGTTGAGATTTATTTCGGCTTGTTTTCACCTCTTCTTAGTTCTCTTTACAGCTACAGTACTTAATGGAGCCACAATTCATCAAGTTCTATGAAGAAGAAGGAAGCAAACACGTTAGGTGGCACAGGTAGACCAAGGGCCTTAGGACTAACAACCCTTCAGACAAGGCACAATAGGGCATATCTCATTGAAACGTTCAAAATCCTGAAAGTGATGGAAAACACGAAACTAAAACATTTCATTGTGATGTCACACAACACCAACACGAGAGGACTTACAGTAACTACAGAATGAATCTAAGGAAATACTGTACTTTTTCACACAGAGGGTGGTATACCGTTGGAATGGTCTACCAGCCCAAAGTGTGGAATCAAGAACAGTACTGGACTTCAAACTAGCCCTTGACAAAATTATCAAGAACAATGGAGGGATTCTGCACAGGCCTCTGGCCTCCTTAGTGTTCTGCCCAAATGGCTCACAGGCCAATCAGTTGCAAAGATGGTAAAGTACACAGTACTGCTACCTGCAGGTTGGCCCCCTTACCTGAAGCTGATGTTTAAGTAACTGTTAAAAATAGCGGAGCCAATTAACTGTTTAGGGGTGCCATTAAAGTAACTGTTTGGGAAATTTTATTGATAAAGCCTTTGTTGTTTGCATAGAATGTACTTCTAGTCAATGGATCTGGTGTTGAAATTCCCCAAAAAAGAACACTTTGTGTTACTCAGGAAGAGACAAGCAGGCCATTGCTTTCATGACTTCTGCAAGTTAACAAAAACATTGATGAACTATGTGTGATGTTAGCAGGAAAGAACCAAAATTATACATAGCACAGTAATGATTTTGGTCAATTTGTTGACACATCAATGGAGCAGAGACCAAAACCTACTCCTCAGTAATGTCAAAATAACTGTATATAGTTTTGTCACTGAGGCCATTAACTATAATTACCTTCAAGTAATAACTTTTCTAATAACGAAATCCTAAAACAAGTGGTTTAGTGGCATCAGTGCCCTCAACATTTACCCATATCTGTTGACAAGGACTGTAGTGTTTCCTATGGAGAGCTCCACTTATTTCAGTAAAATTACACTTTGTTCAGGTAAGTTAAATTAATTCCAATCACGGAAATAAGTTCTTGAAAGCAGAAAATTGCTTTGTGTGTGAGTTTCCAATTGTATCTTTCTGTGTTAAGAGTGAAGACCTACTTTAAACATTACTTATCCACCACCGGCCAATATTATTGAGGAAATACGGAAAAATAAACCAACAATATCCACAAAAGTGTCCTCCAATTCTATCAACTATTGTGTTCCACATAAAGGACAAAAGTGAACCAAAATCACACTTGGAGTTGTAAGATCTCTTTTAATTCCTTCAGAAATTAAGACCAACACCTCCCAGGGCCATGTGAATTATAGTGTTGTATCTCATATATGGCTAAGAATAATGCCAAATATTATAAATATCAGAAAAATAAGGTTTGGTTAGTTAGTTAGTTAGACAAGTGGATGGTTGAGAGGCAACTGGCACCTTCCTCCCTCCACCACGTCTTATGGTCCTGACACCAGTTGACTTGACCTGCTGTTCTCATCCCTCACTCACTCTCTCCCACCGCTCTTACATTTCCTGTAACGTTCCAGTTCTCTCTCTCAGACAAAACACACACGAATAAAAAAAAACGATGCATATTGGAGACAACATTACGGATTCTCAGACCTGGAGTCTCACATCTGACTTGAGATTCATCTCTTCGAATAAAAAGGAGCTTAATTTAACCTCACGCACGGATTACTGACCTCTCCAAGTTAGGATCAAGGATCCTCAGGTTAAACTGGTTGAGGAAGTCCTGTCATAAAGGATTTGCAGGAGATAATGAGGGACGTGTAGCAGAAACAAACCTCCTCCCCGATGTTTACCAAACAACACTGATCGGCTGCTGCGGCAGGACGACTCTCGCCCTGCGCAGGGAGGACAAGTGACGGCAAACACTGACGACTAAAGGAAACATACAAACAATATACTCCTTCTGGCTATACTGATACAAAAAAGATATGAATATGTGTTATAATAAGCACTTGTCGCCCTAGGTAAACACCATAGAAATATTCTGCGTTTGAAGGAATCAACATCAACTGTGTCTGGATGACATTACCAACGGCGATATTTTTACACCGTACTGCTGAATAAAGGTTAAGTATTGTTGTCTCTCGTAATAATAAAGATTATAATATTGCGGCGTAATTAAAGATGCGAGAAAGTGATTCAAGCACCCAATGCATTTTTTATTCCTAATTTCAAGCTTGCTAGATAGCATTTTCATATATTTGTTAATTCTGTTTGTTTACTGTACATTTTTGTATATAATCCAACAATTTCCAACTTCTTTCTCATGTATGACAGCAAAACAACACTCGGGAACATGAACCCGAGTACTGATTAATATACATTTACTGTAATTTTCTTATATATATCTGGCAAGAGCTTCACATTGTAACCAATCAAATTTCGCGTATCATTTGCTCACCAAGAAGCCAACGACCAATAGGAGGATAGGATCTTTATCAGCTTGACACCTCGATGTAAATATAAACACCCTTACCAAACCTAACAAGTACAATTACATAGTTTAATCCTTCATAGTTCAGCACAGAAGTACATATAGCGCGAATGATCATCAACTTGCATAAAGTTACCATGGCGTCATTGGTCTTTTTTATTATTTTTTTTACTAAAGGATGAGATAAAAGTCCCCAGTCGTATTGAAGAATTTCTCTGAATACAATTATAATATATCTATCATTCTAATACTATAATAGTCGGAATGAAGATACGTATTATGCTCGTGGTTGAAGTGTTGACAAGAGAGACATTATGTAACAGGTTTTTAACTCAAATTCCTTTTACTTCACGAGTTTTCCTCTAAGTTGAACTGTCCCCTTGATCCCTGTTCTCCTATCCTACCTGTACTGTCCACATCTTGTTCTTATACTGCACTTATTTTGAGAGACAAAACAACATACTTAACACAAATGACGTAATGCCAACCAGTTAATGCATCAAATATGTCGAAATGCTCACCAAAATATTAATACATAATCACTTAATGCATAAAACTCAGAGACGATTTACTACACACTGCACACACCTTACAGCAATCAACTGACGGCGAGCCCGAGCGTTGTCTCAGCCTCGGGGCAGCTCACACTTGCATCGCCATCACTCACGAAGAATCTAGAAACTGTATTATAAATGATATTGTTATAAAAAATAATTGAAAATATGTAATTGGCCAACATATTTATTTTCAGACTTATATGACAGGTTGTATTATTTATTGCACAAGCTAATAAGCCAATATTTCAATTAAATCTTTAACAAAAAAATGCAAAATAAAACATCTTGCATTACTTCCCAAGTTATGGACAATGAGTGATACACAACAGGGGTATATTGACAGTCAAACCTATCAGTGGCGAAGAGGATGTCTGAGGACTGGCGACCAAATACGGAAACTCAGCTAGACTTAATGACGACAGCAAAAGAATCTCATTTAGTTAGTAAGCTGACAGTTTTATTTTCTTGCTGTGTCCAAGGGGCAGCAAGTGAATTTATAAAACAGCCACCCACCAGAGTGTGGGCAGTATTCAAATTATCGGGGACACGCAACTGAATATATTGCACATGTGATCAGTGACTCCCTGTGTAAGGGCGGATCCAGGGGGGTTCTGGGGTCCGGACCCCCATTTTTCATCAGAAAATTCCAATAGTTTTTCTTTAATACAGTATTGAACTCAGGCATTTTTGTATAGTAAAAAGTAATTACTATTGACTTCAGAATACCTCCTAATATCAAGTGCACATGGCCTCAAAATGTCCATAATATTGGTCAGATTTAAAAAAAAAATCTGGGGGGCAGCGCGCCCCCCCCCAGTTGAGTGGGCTCGCTATGCTCGCCAGGTTCCCCCACCCATAACGTCTTGGATCCCCCCCCCTTAGTTTTGATATACCTGGATCCGCCCCTGCTGTGGCAGGTCCCTGACAGGCCTTCTTGTTATTTATTTTATAAAATAACAGGTAAATATCACCTTATTCCCCTAATTACTGAAAAAGTTGTATAACGTTATCAGAGAAAATGTGATACAGAATCTAAATAGGAGTTATTCTATGAGTGACACTGATGACTAGGCTTAAGATAATTATGCACATAAAAATGGCTAAATATGCATGCAGATATGCAGTAAAAAGAGAAAATATGCACTTAAATATGCACTTTAAAATAAGTTAATAAATAATAACTACTAAGTTAATAACTCCTTTTCTGTACATTTTCTCAGTAAATTTACTTTCCCAGACAGGATGTCGCCGAAGCAGGATTTTATAAAGAAGGATTAAATGCAAAAAACAATATACTGACAAAATAATTCATTAAACAATACTGAAAAAAGTATTCCTTTTAAGAAAATAGAAGAACAAAAGTGTCAGGAGGGAACTAATGGAGCCCATGCATCTATACCCTGCCTGGCTGAACACGAACCCATCACGTACAGTTCATGTCCACTGACCAGCCCATCACGGCCTAGCTAACCACAGCCTAATGTTGACCTATATAAACGTCACTTAAGTATGTTCCTTTTGGATATTATGACGCTAAAACAAAATCGCGTATTTTCGATTTTGTATTACATGTAGTGCAATAAAATGTACTTTTATATTTCAAATATCAGTAATTTCTGCCCCAGCGTTGTTGTTATGCTCGCGAATTTTTTGACCCTTGAGGTTGAGGAATGTTTTATAATATTTTGGAATTTTCCAAATATATGCCTTATAAAACAAATAAATATGAATATGCACTTTACCTCAAAAATGGCTTAAATATGCATTTGCATATGCACATATGCAAATACATAATTATCCTAAGCCTACTGATGACGATTGTTTTCATAATTTCACGTAACATAAATGTTAATAATGATATGATAAAGTAGCAAGAAAGATGATAAGAGACAAGATTACGTAGAATGCTCCACTTGGTAATAGAAAAATAAGTTTTATTTCCTTGTTGATTACAATTAAATGAAAAAAAAAGTTTTGGAATTGGATATGGATGCGTCTAGTAAGTTTAGTTGTTCCAGTATTAATATTATCATTGGAAACAAAAACAAATTGTCAGCACCGAAAATTACAAGAAGTGGGTTGTTAGTATTGTAAAATGGTATATTAGATATAATACGTCCCACAAGTGATATTAAGTTTACATTAAAACACAAACTCCCATATTAGCAATGATATCATAACGCAGGGGGGGAGAGGAGATAGTGTACAGGCACTGGTATTTATTCAGTAAAATCGTTATACAAGTTTATAATGATTTAGTATATATATATAGACAATGCAAAAATACAGCTCAATAGGCAGAAAAACAATACAGGTAAACAATGTACAAAGATAATGCAGGTATACAAACAATGGTAAACAATAAGTCAATTCGACCGAGGATACTCAACCAAACTCTAAGAATATTGCGTTACTCATAAGTTAAGTTTAGTCGCCAATAAAACCCTAAGGCCAGTTAACTGAAAAGTGGTGATGTTGAAGAGGATAAGTAAATGAGAAATTCATGCCGACGCGCCTACCTCGCCAACGTGTGTGGTGAAGCAGGAAGGATCCTTTCTCCCCAGGTAACGAGGCTTGAGGCCCTCTGGAGAGATCGAGGAGACAATATTAATGATCTCTCTTCCCAGGTTACAACTCAGAAAAAAGCCAAGAGAGACAACCTCATCAAGGAGGCCCAATCCCCTACCTGTGCCTGTACAGTGATCAGAACGTCTGCAATTGCCTGGTTTATATACTATAGGTAAGGGGAGGAGTGATTTAATGGGATACCAGTCTCAGTCGAGTGTTCATATCTTGCACTAGCGGATGACCGTCCCACAAGAGGTCACAGTTTCTGATTAAAGAAGCCAGAAGTTCAGAAAATTATTACAGCAAACTATTTCAGAGTGAGAGTTATGGACTCTTGGAACAATCTGCCAAAGAGTGTTGTGACGGCACCCAGTGTGAGCTGTTTCAAGACCAGACTTGACCAACACTGGAGCAGGTTCAGGTACATTCAGGAGCCGGTGCATGCCCAGTACTTGCCAACAGTACGTAACAGAGACGTAACCGACAGCCCAGTAAAATAAAGTGTGTGCGGAGAAAACAGCGACATGGTTGGTGTTATCAGATATAAGCCGCTTTCCGGTCACAGACTAGATGGCTCTCGTAATAGCGGCAGATATACTGTACATACTCAAACACTGATTACGGACTGACTCACACAAACACTGAATAATATACTTAAATAAACTGAAGCAACCGTGGGGAACAAGTCTGTGAGGTTATCGCGGCTGGGAAGAAGCGAAGGGTGGAGGAGGAGGGGAGAGAGAGAGTAGGAGGAGGAAGCGCACGAGACATGCAAGAATGGCTAGAGTGTGAGAGCTGCCCCGCCAGGAATGAAGACCATAATATATTTACTTTCGGCCCTCTTGTTTAACCTAACCGACTGTGTATCGATTGGGTCTGAAATAAGAGAGTTTGGAGAACATAATTATATAAAACAAGTATTGGGTCCATCGTTCACATGTTTTTCAACTTTCTCGTAGGGGTAAAAAAAAAAAGTGAAGCTAAGAAAATCTTGGGTATTTTACAAGAAAAAAAAATATATATTCTCCTGTTTACCAGCAGCTCCAAGAAAAGAAAAGGAAAAGTAATCAGAGACGTAACCGATCGCCCAAGCGGCTAACGAGCCTATCAGTGGTGAAGAGGATAAAAGTAAAATATGAAGAAAATAGTACTAAAATATCAGAAACCAAAATAATTAACCAAAAATACTAATACTAATAATAAAGATGAAGAATATAAAAAATAAGAGTCAACAATCACATCAATCCACGACGTCCACCATCTGCTCCCTGACTCGCACTCCTCTACGAGA